AGTTAACAAAAGAAAGACACACAAATGCCCAATAAATACACGAAAAGTTGCTCAATCTTACATATAATTTAAAAAAAACTTTCCTACCTCTCAGACTGGCAAATATTAAAAAATGTGCTAATACTCATTATTTCCAAAGATGAGGGGAAAGTGTCATTCTGATACACTGTTGGTTGACATAAATTGGTGCAACTCTTGGGAGGACAATTTGGTATTATTTTTCAAAACTAAAAATAAATACAACCTTTCCACAATCCCATTCCTGGGAGAACATCGTAAAAATATATATGTATTGGATTATTACTGCAACATTGCTTTTAATAGACAAAAACATTTTAAAAATCTTTAAATGATTAGCAATAGGGAATGGTTAAATAAGTTAAGATTCATTAATGCATCAAGACTGCAGCATGGCTATATGTACTGATATAGAAATAGGCCCATAATATATTGTTTGGTGAAAAAGCATATTTTGCAACAATATACAATGAATGATTCCATTTACTGTACAGAAAGATGTCCAAGATAGATTGCTTAGTGAAAAAAGCATCTTGCAGAGCAGTATATATTGAATGATTATATTTAGATGAAAGAAATGTGTGGGCACAGGAAATTTTCAGAAAATTTCATTTAAAAAAAAAAACCTGTTAACAATAGTTGCCTCTCAGGAAAAAGACTGAAGGAGTAGAGAGGAATGAGAAGAAACCTTGATTTTCACTCTTTACCCATTTATATTATTTGAACTTTTCTTCAGTATGTATTTTCTCACTTAAAAAGAATAAAAATATAAACCTGAAAATAAAAAAGGATTTCTATGCATAAAGCAACGATGCAGCAAAGATAAAGAAATGACGAATTAACGTAATTAGAATGATAATTTCCATTTCTGTAACAACTTTGATGAGCTCAAATTTTTGCAAATATAATAAATGGTATGCTAATAAACCCAAGGGTAAAAATTTTATACTCTTCACTTACCAAAATAATAAATGGAGGCGGTAGGAAATAAATATTTATCTTCTATCACTAGCAATTTAGTAACTCACAACTAGACGGAAGGTTTTGGTCAGCTTCAATTTTATGTGTGAACCAATACATAGCATCCCTATCTGTTGCTATGGAAACAACTGTGACCAAAAAATCACAACCTCATTGTTGAACCTCCTCAAACAGGAAAATAGGAAGATCTTTTGAGGTGATGAAAAGCTACAAATTGTCTTATTAATTGGAAACTAATAATAAAAATTCTGAACAGTTTGCAGACAGAAGACAGATCCACGCCTAAGTGTCATAAATTTAAAGGCTTTCTTTAGTTTTTAAAGTATCTCTTAGGCCAGCACTGCTCTGTTTTTGAAAGCTTTATTCAGCTGAGAATTTTACTTACTGCTTTTGAGATAATTTTCCTTTTATTTGTAGAAAAACTACAGTTAAAAAGGCTTACTTTAAAAAATTTTAAAAGATATTTACAGGCATCCCTGATTGTTTCTAAGCAATCAACAATGTCTTTCTCATTCTGTATCAAGAACATGAGAATCTTCATGTAGATCCAGTACCTCTTTTGTAGTACATTTGGCAACAATAATCAGATTTACTGTTCAACCTGCTAGGTTTTGTCTTTTGCTACAAAAGCAGATTACAGAAGAGGACATACTGGGCTGCATCAAAAGCTCCCAACATTAATAAGAGGAGATGCTTGTCAGTAAGATGATGGGATATTGTTGTGATATATAGTGATGCTTTGAATCAGGAAAATCCAGCATCTAAACTTCTTTGGAGAGAAGGGTACCACTTTTTGTTTACAGATATAAGATGTAGAATTAAGTCAGCCAATTACAGTGGGTTTTTCTAAAGTAAGAAAAAGCAATAGTAATAATTAATGAGAACAGAAAGTCAGGTGGCATTTTTAGGCTCCAAAGCACACAGAATTATTCAAGTCTAATTTCCCCCTTAGAAGTCATCAGCAGCAAATAGACTGATCTCAAATTTAAAAGTGATTTTGACTTAATTTATCTTTTAAAATAATCTACATATTTTCAATCTGTGACTTATTATGCAATTAAGGAATAGCAAATTTTTAATTTTGTCTACTTTCCTGGGCTGCTAGAAAATCAGCTGAATCCAATACTTAATTGGGTTGGGGAAAGGGGTTGAGAAGAAAGGTCAAGAAATAACTTCAACCTCTCTCTCTCTCATAGGAATTATGGCAGGGAATGCTAGACAAAGCACTCTGAGCAGGAGACCAAACAAGCATCTTTCAAAGGAAAGGGAGAAAAGGGAGCAATATCTATTGAAAACCTACTATTCATTCATTCATTTCTTCATTTGACAAATATTTAGCAAAACTCAGTAATGAATAAGACTAAATGTTGGCAACTAGAGAGTTAGCAATGAATAAGCCTTTTTAAAAAGGTCTTTACTCTCAAGGAGTTTTCCTTCTAGTGGAAGAAACATATATTGAACAGAAAAACGAATGAATGAGGTAATTCATATAGTTGTAAGTGGAATAGATTTTCACATAAGATGATTCTGTAAGTTCATACTTTGGAGATCCCTCCCTTCTGCAAACACATAGCAATAAAAGAGAAAATACAATGTAAAAATTAAGACACAGCCATGCTCAAAAACAAGATAAACATCTTCATAATCAGAACATGAACAGAAACACATAATGGTAAGGAGGGTTGAAGCCATGGACCTTTGGGGCTTTGGGTCCAAAGACAAGAAACCAGGAGCTCAACTCTTGAAGGGTAAATACAGATTAAAAGTGTCCATCCATGCCAGGAGTGCTGAAAATAGGCTCAATGCTTGAAATTATGATCAGGCATTGGGATCCCCTGCTCATGGAGCCTGTCATCAATCACAGCCTGGGGCTGTGGCTTCTAAAAGCAGTATACCCGGGGAGGCAAGAGGACAGAGAACAAAACTTCTCCAGCAACTAAACCATGGCATCCCTTGTTCTGGGGACTGAATCTGCAATATCTCTCAGACCAGCAAGAGAAAAAGGCCTCAAGTTGCCAGTGTAAGTCTGAATATGGATAAGTGGTCCCATGTGTCAGCAGGAGGCAAATGAAAACTATTAGGCAGGGACGGGTGAGGACAGAGAGAGAAAAAGATTAAAAAAAAAAAAAAATCCCTGAGCCATGCAAAACCAGCCTACAAACCAGCATTCCAAAACAGAAAGCAGACTGAATTCATTCCTGCCACAATGAAAACAATAAAGCAATTTTAAAAGTACTTAAAATTAAGTACGTTAAAAAAAACCATACCAGTTGCCGTCGAGTCAATTCTAACTCAGGGACCCTATAGGACAGAGTAGAAGCACCCCATAGGGTTTCCAAGGCCGTAATCTTTACAGAAGCAGCTGCCATAACTTTCTCCCATGGAGCAGCTGGTGGGTTCAAAGCACTGACCTTTCAGTTAGCCGCCACGCATTTAACCACTGTATCACCAGGGCTCATAAGTATGTTTGTTGTTATTGTTGTTAGGTGCCATTGAGTGAGCTCCAACTCATAGTGACCCTATGTACAACAGAACGAAACACTGCCCGGTCCTGTGCCATCCTCACAATCTTTGTTATGCTTGAGCCCATTGTTGCAGCCACTGTGTCAATCTACCTGCTTGAGGGTCTTCCTCTTTTTTGCTGACCCTCCACTTTACCAAGCACGTTGTTCTTCTCCAGGGACTGGTCCCTCTTGATAACGTCTAAAGTCTCGCCATCCTCACGTCCAAGGAGCATTCTGGTTGTACTTCTTCCATGACAGATTTGTTTGTTCTTCTCGCAGTTCACGGTATATTCAATATTCTTCACCAACACCATAATTCAAAGGCATCAATTCTTTAGTCTTCCTTATTCATTGTCCAGCTTTCACATGCATATGAGGTGATTGGAAATACCATGGCTCGGGTAAGGCGCACCTTAGTCCCTAAAGTGACATCTTTGCTTTTTAACACTTTAAAGAGGTCTTTTGTAGCAGATTTGCTCAATGTAATATGTCCTTTGACTTCTTGACTGCTGCTTCCATGGGCATTGATGGTGGATTCAAGTAAAATGAAATTCTTGACAACTTCAATATTTTGTCCATTATCATGATGTTGCTTATTGGTCCAGTCGTGAGGATTTTTGTTTTTTGTGAAGGTGTAATCCATAATTATCTTTCTAAGTGCTTCAAGTCCTCCTCGCTCTCTGCAAGGTTGTGTCATCTGCATATCACAGGTTGTTAATGAGCCTTCCTCCAATTCTGAGGCTGCATTCTTCTTCATATAGCCCAGCTTCTCAGATTATTTGCTCAGCATACAGACTGAATAAGCGTGGTGAAAGGATACAACCCTGAAACACACCTTTCCCGATTTTAAATCACGCAGTATCCCCTTGTTCTGTTCGAACAACTGCCTCTTGGTCTATGTACAGGTTCCACATGAGCACAATAAAGTCTTCTGGAACTCCCATTCTTCTCAATGTTATCCATAATTTGTTATGATCCACATAGTCGAATACCTTTGCATAGTCAATAATAAAACACAGGTAAACATCTTTCTGGTATTCTCTGCTTTCGGCCAAGATCCATCTAACATCAGCAATGATACCCCTCATTCCACCTCTTCTTCTGAACCCAGCTTGAATTTCTGGCAGTTCCCTGTTGATGTACTACTGTAACCATTTCTGAATGATCTTCAGCAAAATTTGACTTGCTTGTGATATTAATGATATTGTTCGATAATTTCTGCATTCTGTTAGACGGCCTTTCTTTGGAATGGGCACAAATATGGATCTCTTCCAGTCGGTGACCAGGTAGCGTAGCTGTCTTCCAAATTTCTTGGATTCTCCCCTAGAGCCTCCAAAAAGGAACGCAACCCTGCTGACACTTTGATTTTAGCCCCGTAAGACCAGTGTCAGATTTCTAACCTACAGAACTGTAATGTAATTAAATGTGTGTTGCTTTAAGGCATTAGTTTGTAGTAATTTGTTATAACAGCAACAGGAAATTATCACAGTGGCTTACCTCTGTTGATTTCCAAGCATTAATCTTGAGCGGTAGTGTTTCCTGGGATAATGCAGTCTCACTAGGCAACTGGATGTTTTGACACTGCTCTTGTTTCGATCCTGCCTTAGAAGAATTTTCTGTGAACAAAATATAGCTAAGATTTTACTTTGGCAAAAAATAGTAATGTTTTTACATTAGTACATAATTTTTTAGTTAATCACTTCCTGAAGATCCTTTTTGTCTGCTAAATAAATATATATCACCTGCCAATATGTAGTCATGAATATTAATTGTTTTAATAATCCTTTATAATAATTGACAAGTTAAGACAGATTAGAAAAATACATCATCAGTTCTCACCCTATCGCCCATCAACAACTCTATTTTATAGGTTTATTATTTGAAACATCTTTTTTATTAATAAGTTACAACATAGTATAGAAAATAGAGTTTGAAAATGTGAAAATGATTCAAATGAATTTGTAGCAAAATAGGAATGACAACTATAATTATCCCAATTAATATTTAAAAGAATGGTATTACTATGGTGTTAATTTCATGTATTCTAAGAGAAACTAATCAGAAATATATAGATCATTTGATTAAAAAGAAGAAATTTTAAACACAATTTTCTTAAAATTTAATTTAAACATAAAAGGAAAAAATACATGAATGAAAATAAACTGATATTTCCACTTATATATTTTTGCTAAATGTAATGTTTTTGTAGTCTTAATATTATTTTCCTTCCTATGCTGTCTTAGTTACCTAGTACTGCTATAACAGAAATACATAAATGGGTGGTTTAACAGGCAGAAACTTATTTTCTCACAGTTTAGGAGGCTAAAAGTCCGAATTCAGGGTGCCAGCTCTAGGGCCAGGCGCTCTCTCTCTGTCTGTCTCTCTCTGTCTGTCTCTCTGTCTCTCTCTCTCTATCTCTCTCTCTGTGTCTCTCTCTCTCTCTCTTGGCTCTGGAGGAAGGTCCTTATCTCTTTGAGCTTCTGCTCCTGGGCAATCTTCATGTGGCTCAGCATCTCTTCCCCCTTCCCCCCTCCACTCCAGTCTCTGCTTGCTGGATTGCTTGTTTAATCTCTTTTATATCTCAAAAGAGACTGACTCAAGACACACCCTACAGTAATCCTTCCTCATTAACATAACAAAGACAAGCTATTCCCAAATAGGATTATAACCACAGGCATAGAGGTTAGGAATTACAATACAATTCAATCCATACCATTCTATCCTTTGGCCTCCCAAAATCAATGTCCTTCCCACATGCAAAACACATTTACCACATCACATCATCCCAAAAGTCTTAAATCAACTCCAAGTCCAAAATCCCATCTTCTGAATCATCTAAATCAAATATGAGTGAGACTTCAGGCGTATGCCATCCTGAGGCAAAATTCTTCTTCATCTGTGGACCTGTGAAATCTAGACTACAAGTTATCTGTTTCCAAAGTACAATGGTGGAACAAGCACAAGGTAGACATTTCCATCAGAAATGGGAGAAATTGTGGGGAAAGAAGGGGTAACAGGCACCAAGCAAGTCCAAAACCCAGGAAAACAATTTACATTAGCTCTCAGGGCTTGAAAATAATCATCTCTTCTCTGAGACCATCTGGGCAATGGCCCTGCCCACCAGACTTTGGGCATTGGTCATGCTCTCTGGATTCTGGGTGGAGGACCCTCGGACCTGGGCTTCAGCTCTACCTTCCAGGCCCACTGAGAAGGCAACTCCCTCAGCTTTGGACAGCCCCATCTGAGTGGTGGCCTCGCACTGTCAGCCCTGGCAAGCCCCATTGTTCTGCCCTTTGGGCATGGCAGCCCTGTCCCCTCAGCTTTGGGCTGCAGCCCTATACCCTTGACACTCTTTAATGACAGTCCTACATTCTGGAACCAGGTTAGTGAAAATCTGACTCTGAAACATAGGAGACTGTAGCCCCACTCTTTGAGATCCAGGAGACCACGGCCCCACTCTTTGAAACTGAGAAGGCCCTGCTTTTCATGCTCCTTCCAGTAGTTCTGCTGATCTCCAAGCTGCTTCAAGGATGGTCCTTTTATTTTCTCAGAGGACAACAGATGTAGTTCCTTTGGCTTATTTCCTGTCTGTAGAATTCCAAGAGGCTGACAGTGTTCTTTCCTTTCATTCTTTCTCTGTCCCCATTCAGTCTAAGCTGATGGGTTTTCTGCTGTGGTAGTTGGTTAGCTTCATCAGTCACAGGCTTAGTTTCTTTAACAAAAGATTGTATAGCCACGTCCTTGGTGAACATTCTAGGACACGTGTCCTTAGTTTGTACAGCAGAATTTTCCAAAACTTTAAATTCTGTTTTCATCTTGCCCAGCTCATTTTTAAGTCCACCTCTTTCCTTTCACGTTTTACTATAAGTGGTGAGGAAAAACCACGTGGCTCCTTTAAGTCCTTGCTTAGAAATCTCATCAGCCAGATATACAAGTTCATCACTTACAAATTCTACCTTTCACCAAACATTTGAATGTAATTCATACAAGATCTTTGCCACTGCATAAAAAGCATCACCTTTCCTTCACTGTCCAATTATATGTTCTTCATTTTCTTTTAAAGCCTCACCAGAAGCACATTTAATGTTCACATTTCTAGCAATATTCTATTGCTCATGCCATATGTATTCTCTAGGATGAGAGAGATTTTTTAATAGCTTTACTCACTTCTTTCTGAGCCCTCACCAGAATTGCCTTTGACATCCATAATTCTGCCAACAGTTTCTTCGAGGCAGTCTAGACTTTTACTATTAGGCACCTTAAAGATCTTCCAGCCTCTACCCATTACCCAATTCCAAAACCACTTCCACATTTTAGGTATCTGTTAGAGCAGCACCTCGCTCTCAGTACCAAATTCTGTCTTAGTTATCTAGTGCTGCTATAACAGAAATACCATAAGTGGATGGCTTTAACAAACAGAAATTTGTTTTCTCACAATTTAGGAAGCTAGAAGTCCAAATTCAGGGTGCCAGCTCCAGGGGAAGGCTCTCTCTCTCTCTCTCTGTCAGCTCTAGAGAAAGGTCCTACTTTCATCTGAGCTTCTGCTCCTGGGCAATCGTCATGCGGCTTGGCATCTTTCTTCCCCCAACTCTGCTTGCTGGATTGATTGTTCAGTCTCTTTTATAGATCAAAAGAGATTGACTTAAAACATACTTTATACTAATCCTGCCTCATAAACATAACAAAGACAACCCATTCCCAAATGCAATTATAACACAAGCATAGAGGTTAGGATTTACAACACATATTTTTTGGGGACACTATTCAATCCACAACAGTGGGCATGGGTAGTTTTAAATAAATCAGTTTCTAGTCTGCAACTTCCATATATATTCTTTTCAAAAATTGATCTGCCTGAAAATGCAACTGTCTGGAGGCATCAGGCTAGTTCTTTCCCCCTTCCCTTTCCTAATCAATTTTCTCCCACTTTACAAAGAAAGACATATCCTTCACTCATCTTATTATAGTCCCTCTTTCCAAAGCATAAGAACCTCTAAGCCACCAAACAATAGTTTAATATACTGGTACAGGGAAAGCTTCCTTTTATCAAGGTATGAAAATCCCAAAGTAAAGCTTCAAGGTTTGTCCTGTCTTACACATATTTATTTTAATGGCAAAACTTGGCATTATTGACATGGTATTTTGGCCCGCACTAGGATGTTCAGCATGCAGATGGGGCAGCAGGACAGTTGACAAGTTTCATTTATGACCTTACCTTTTTTATCCCCTGACTATTGTCAAAGAATGCATCATTATTAGGGAGAGTCCCAGGACAACAAAGCAAAGAAAGCATGGGAAGCAGTAGCGCCTTTGTTCATCAACGCGACAAATAGACGATAGGGTTCTATGCTTTACCCATCTCTCTTAGGAAAAGGATTCAGGAGTGTGAAGACTGTTAAAGTGATGCTCATTTACACATTTATTTGAATAAATAAAGTCAGACTTTCTCTGAAAGAAAGTTCATATCTTATCTGGCTGGCTGTTTTGACAATGAGGGCTGGCTTTGCCAATTAGGTTATATGGTAAATACTTTCCAAAAATTGAACGAACCAAATGTTCGCTTCTGAAAATTTGATGAAAATGTTTTTAAAGTACATAAGATAAAATAATTTTCTCAAAAAAATTATTGTATTGACAGGTATATTGCAATTAATATTTTTGTTTTTCTCATTTTTCTGAGTATATTGGGTTACAGTATAACAGATATAATTAATAGTCATTTGATAAATTTTAGTAAAGATTTTTTGGTATTATTCCCAGAAACTGAGAAAGCAAATTACTCCTAACGACTGTTTAACAAATCTTTTTGTAAGTGTATTTCCAGTTCTTTGCTTTCAACAACACTGAAGAAAGACCTAATCAAGTTAACAGTTGACAAGAGATAAAAACTATTTTTATAATTATTATATAATTTTTGGCATATTACTTGAAAGGTGTTCATAGAATTGACTGAAATTGGTATAATAAAACACCTTCCATTTCCACCTACATTTTGATGTGAACACGTTTTCTCAACACTTACATCTATAAAAATGTAAAATAGGAATGGAATTTATGCTCTGTGCTTATTTCTAATAATAAGTTAATGTTCATATGTGGGTAAACAGTCCCAGTCATCTCATAAAAGCATGCATTTCCAATAAAATAGTATTCTTTAGGTTTAATAAGTATTTATAAAAATGTACAATATATTTATTTATGTGGTAGTTATACATTGTATACTAATAATAATTGTAATGATAAGCCAATCTAGAAAGAATATTTTACCACTTAAAGCTTCTGGTCACAGAAAATTTAGAAAAAGAACTTCAATTTAATTTATATACATATTTGATGTAGAGAAGACTTTCAAGCATAAAAATAAGTTATATTAGGATAAAATTCTGTGAGGGATGTGGAATAGAAATATGACTTCAAGGAGAAAAGGGAATAATGATGTAAAATGTCCAACACTTAAGGAACACTTCCTTCATGTATTTTTTTCAAATGAATGACTGTGGGTATCAACCACAATGGTATTCATACCCCTTTAGATACATTTAAAAGATGGATGAAGAGTTTTCTTTTATTGTTGTGCTTTAAGTGAAAGTTTACAATTTAAGTTAGTCTCTCATAC